TTTGCAGTAAGTAATGGATGCGTGACATGCCTTAATTAACAAAGCGGAATGTGTATATGCAACTAAAAATTTAGGCATTGTTGCCTTTTAATCAGGCAGTCCTTTGACAGCTCCAATTTGTTGTGATGGAAGGTGATTGTTCGAGTGCACCACTGTGCATCGCAGACAAGGGGTACGGCTTCACTTGGCTTGCATCCTTGCTCCACGGATAATGCAACTCGCGGTGTACTCAAGGACGCAGAGCTGGCCAGTGCAGCTGCACTAGGTCTTTTTGGGTGGACCTCAGTCTCACTGTGTTCGCTGCAACATCTCTTCTGCCTGCCTGCTATATGACAATTAGAAGTGTTTTAGTGCGACGTTCCAAATTTGTGCCATCTCCTCCTTCAGTTGCACTACGCACTGGGCAACATGGGCTTAAGAAAGTGTTGTATGGTAATTGCACTTCACGAATTTTTTGATAAAACTTAAACAATGAAACGCCCGCTGATATATGGACTGCAGCCCGTACCAACGTAATCGGGTACCATCCAAGGCTTAAATTCTAGTCCTTTGTTTGTGAATTTCAGTGTATACAGCCAGTAGTCCAATCGAAGCACGACTCTTACTTTTCGGTGGTCCAATGCCTGACAAAAATCCACGTTCATTGGGTGGATTGGAAACTGCGAAGGCCTTGCAGAGCTCAGTCAAGAATTGGCATTCGAAATTGTTACCTCGTTAACTGTGCACCATTTTAGGGACTACTGTGTTGACAAATCCAGCGACTGAAGAAAACCGAGGCAACCGTTTCAGCGCTGCGTGTTTTCATGGGCTCTGCCTCGGCTACGTTCGCAAGTTACTCTGCCGTTATCGGAATCTATCAGATTCCTTCAATGGTGAGGAGTAGAGTACTCATGATGTCAACACCTGCCGCCTTCTCTGTGAGCCCTCTGGGCATAGGTTAGACCGGTGCTGTTACTTCGAAGTGAGATCATTCAAAGTAATTCATCAGTGGTTAATAGGCAATCTAAACTCCGTCAGTAAACCTTGTTTTCATATCTGACCAGATGTGTGACATTGTACGGACGCACCATGAGGTGAAGTGTCATGACTGCGTCAGGACAGAAGTGTGCATTGCTGACACGCTAGTTTGCCGATCAGGTGAATTCTTTCTTTGTATTTCATATAGAACAACTCACTGGCAAAACTTAGCATAATTTTGAAAGCACCTACAAAGTAGCTCCACTGTCGGTAGGTTGCCAGTAGAAGATGGCTTGAGTGAATCCTTGACGAACTTTAGGATGGAGCAGTGGCTAAATCCCGAAACTGACA